GGGAAGTGGGCAAACACTTTTTCACATCACTGTACTCTCTGGATGCACTATAGCAGCTGTCACAGGAGCAGCTGTTGCATGACAGCAACACAGATTTTAACGTTCTTCTTTTTTCTTTTTTTTAAACTTCATTCATTGTGGTTTATTTCAGGCTTTTGAAGATCACAGAATGCTATCACACTCAGAAAACTAAAATCATAAAATATGTATTCAGAGTTAAAAGATAACCTTCCTGCTTTTCTCCGCTGTTTTGTAGAGCTCTGAAGTTCTGTGGCCCAGGTGGACCCCCCCATGTGAAGCTTGTTATCGAATGGGAGCCAAGCACCAAAGAATGGTAAGGACTGAACACATTTTAATGGAAAATGCTTTAAAAATGTGCAGAACTCACAATTTTATAGTGTTGGCTGTTGTCATCTTGGGTGACATGGTAAACACAATTCTGCCATTAAATTAGACCAATCCACTTTGTGTGTGGTCCAGTTTATTTGGCAGCATCCAGGAGGAAGTAGTGAAAGATGCAGAGAGCGTGAGGAACCAGCAGCAGCAGCACCTTCAGCAGCATAGCTGTACCTTGGATGAGTGCTTTAAGCTGTACACCAAAGAAGAACAGGTAAGTAAGAGGAATACAATAAGCTTTTGTTCTTACACGGTTATAACACGATATTTGCATTGGAGGTTTCCTCTCCCTGAATTTCATGAAACTAGTGCGATTTAATCTCCAGATTTTAATTTACACTCCAAGTCAAAAAGGCCACATAAGTATTTAGAAAAAATAAAAGGTCCACAGCAGCACCTTTTACTTGCTTACATGCTTACTGATTTATTGATATGCGTAGTCTGATGTCAGAAATCAACAGATGTCAATAAAATTATCACACAGAGACGATGGTCTGTTGCATTTGCCAATTCAACTAGAATACATGTCACGTATCCTCCTTAGTTTTCTTTCTTTCTGTCTGTCTTAACCTGTCTTTTTGGCATTTTGCTACAATTGGCAAATGGAAAATCAGCATTGCACATGATAATAATAATAAATTATTGAATTATTAATGCACAATGCTAGTTTTTAATGCATTAATTTGTACTGAAATCATGTCTAATATTTAAGATTTAAAAAACTGATATAGATAATTAATACCTGGAGCTGACTTTATGTGCTTAGCTTTTGTACTTGTCTTTTACTGTACTTGCTGTAATATTTCAGTCGGGTGGTGTCTGTTCTCTGGAAAAAAAATAGAGGCAGCTGGACTTTAGGTTTGTGAATATGTTTCACCTCTCATCCAGGAGGTTTCTTCAATTCTGGCGTGTGTGTGTGTGTG